TTTGTTGATATATTATTAGAAATAATTTTTATGAATATATTTTTTAGCGTTCTTAATAAATATCCAGAATCAAAAAAGATCTTTAAAGTACCCGAAACTACACCGACTGATACGCCATTGGCTGATACAAAAGAAGTGCAAGCGGCTAGTGATAAGCTTTTAAGTCACTATATGGATATTGTTAAAACTTCAGATAGTAATCTTGAGTCAACAGTACAGAAAAAAGCAACTGATCTCAGTAAACTTGGCGTTAAAGCCGAATATATTAAGGTAACTACATACTTTTTCTTTTCATATTTCTGTAATAACTAAAATCGAAAATAAATTTTCTTTTCATAGACTTATGGTGACAATCTTGCAACAAATACGACAAAAGATACAACCACCAAATTGAGCTCAACTGAAGAAAAAATTTGGAAATCCGTTACTAGTGAGATTACAAGTAAACTCACTGCTGCCATGGCCAAACTACCTAGTTCATCTTCATAATCGTCATGAAAAAAAAACACATATATCATATTCTTGTTAAAAATGAAACATAACATAGAAAATTTTTTTATAATCTTGAAGAATTTCGTATAAATATAATAAAATCAAATCATTGCTATTTATTTTTGTTAATTATTGAAGCTGTAAAGGATGTGTGTATTCTCAACAAGTCACACTTCGAACATGACATAATTAAAATGAGCTGTAATAGAAACATATTAGTTCCTATTTTTATGTATTTTGAAATTAATAATCTTACAATAAAGTTATGTGGATTTTTCATCGTGTTCTGTTCTTCCTCGTGTTTTATTTTATTTTATAAAATAAACATCTTACTCTTTAACTGTCGTTTACTCACCGACTACTGTCGCATTTTCATACAGTGGCAACGCAATCTTATTCTTTCATCAAACGAATAAACAATAACTGTGAATAGGTGAAAAGGAAAAAATCAATAGTAACAAATAACAGACTTTAAAATAAAAAATTGTAGATGAATAATATATGCAGATAAGATGAGGTATACTTATATTTCACTATAACGAAAGTAACATGAAATTTAATATGAAGTACATGTTTAAATATAGATTTATTTAAATGGTATTAGTAGCAACGAAAATGAAATTTTTTTGAGGTTGTGGGTGTGACGAAAGAGCACACATCCTCACCCTAAATACATTATTAATATTGGTTCTTGATTGTAATTTTATTACTAATGAAGGTGCTTAACATCTATTCAATGCTTTACAGATCAATCAGGTAGATTTCTCTTTTCATCAATCATTTTATGTTTTTGTGAATTCTTCTTAAAGACACTCTTGAGATTAAGTTTTGCAGACAATCAAATTAGTTTTCAAGGAAAAGAAAATCAAGTAAAAATTCATTTTTCTTTATTGATTTAGACACTTAAATCATTGAATATTAAATTGAATAAAATTCTTAATGAAGAAGAACAAGAAATTATTGAAAAAGACTTACAAATCAATTTATCAAGAATCAAAACTAGGGATGTAACAATACCAATACGGTATTGGTATTGATATCGGTAAACTTCTTCCACACTCAATCCTGTAATTTTCATCAATTAATGACTGTAAGTGCCACCCAAGAAAAAAACATTGAATACAAGTAATGATCAAAGTGTGCAAACGATAGATTTATGGGTAATTCTGTTTTCTTGTATTTTTCCAATATGTCTTCTTTTAGCTGGTATGTCATACAATTTAAGATAGTCACTCAATTAATTTTATTAAAAAAAGTCGAATATACTTGCCGTTATTATCAAGTTTTTACTCCACCAGTTTGGCGGACGATGAAGACTATAGACCGTCTTTCTTTTCAAGAAGTAATTAGACTGATTATCATAGACAGTCTAGTCATCCTATTGTTCTCTCTGCTATTCAGATATATATATATACGACAATCTGTTTATGTCTGAATTAAATTACAAGTATTATTGTTTGTTAATATCGAGTTTAGTGCCTTACAATGGAAATGGGTGAGAATTATTTAATACTCCAACAAGGTAAGGATAAATGAGAATATTTATAAAAGTGCATATTTTTTGTTTTGTTCATTATTAAGCAATTCAACGTGATTCATGGGTTATAGAAGTGTTAACACAAGAACAAATACGCATATTTGAAGAAGGTAAAATATTTTTAAAAGTCTGAATTCTTAACAATTTCCTATTTAGTTTTTAAACAGCACAAAAATCCTGGATGGGATATTAACTACCGTATTGCGACGTCTTTGAATATATCGCCTACATATGTTCGAGTAAGAAAATATTCTGTTTTTTATATTATTGTTCAATATTCATTTTTAGACATGGTTTAGATATCGTTTTTTCTGTCAAATGACTCTCAATCATCGTCTACATTGCTTCTCTCGTGTTGGCGCTTGAACAACGAAAAATAACTATTAAAAAAACATTTATCAATTGTAAAAATAGATTGTTTTCTGTATAAATAAAACATGTATATAATCGATATCAACAGTTAGGAGTATGATATTTAGAAGTACAAGAAAAATCGTTTATTTTGATTAATTCGGAAAAACTCTTTTGCAAACGTGAGCGTAGGGATACTGATTTTGTCATGACTAAACGAGAAGTGTTATGGTATAGTTGGATAGAAGTAGTTTAATAAAAAAAAATGACAGAATGAATATATAGCATTGACGACTACTACTGCTTGTATTGCGATGATAGTATAGTTACTATTGTAGTCCAACATCTACTTACTGTGCTGGTAAATATTATAGTCTCAGTATAGACAAATACGGTTTGCTGGTTAAAGTACATTTATTTCTATATAAACGACAGTATTAATCTCACTTTTTTTCCATAAAAAAATCTTCATATATCTTCTCAATTTTTTGTTCCATTGTGTTAAGAAGGCTAGGGCGATATGGTTTCCATCCTAATGTTCGTAGTCATTGTGCTGTAGCCTTCGATTTTGTAGCAAATAAGTCAGGAAAAAGCTGATTTGTTTCATTATCAGAGATACTTTTGATGATTGCATGAGCCCTTTCTTATGTAAAATTTCAATAGTTTTTTTTCAACATTTTTGGCAAGAATTTCTTCCATTTTCAACAAAAGAATATCCTTCAGGTCCTGTTGTTAAATACGGATCAGGTTTCACATTAGATTCACAAGCAACAAAGAAGTTCATTGAAAAGAATAAGATACGCATCAACTAAATCATCAATATGAATATTATCCTATGTTGCTTCACCTGATCCAATCAAGTCAAGTGTCGATGTTGTTAAGTAATATCAACTAGTTTTATAAATATAATACTTTGACGTTTAAATCAATATTTCGATGGACATCTATTAAGAATTTATTTTTTGAAAACGAAAATGATTTGGAAGAAATTCAATGAAAACAAGATATTTTTTTAAGATTATGATAATAGTTCGAAAGTTGCTGCAATCATTAAATGATCGGAAGGATGTGTTTGATCTGGGTAAGATTCACTTGTAGGATGATCTGGCAGCTCTAAAACATCTTTCACTGCAAGACGACCATTATAAAAAATATAATCAAGTGTTTCACAAAAGTTTGGTGAGTGTGGTGTATGTGAAAAATCTGTATAAATAGGTTCAACTCCATTCTTTTCTCGATAGGCACTCTTCAAGACTTGGCCAGCATTTCGTTGATATGAAATTTCATAAATATCAGATTTTGGTAAAATACAATCGGCATAATCTTTTTCAGTTAAAGCACGATAACAAATATCGCATGGTTTTAGATTGAAATCTCCAGCAAGAATAAAATCTTTTCCAATTGACAATTCAAACATTAAATCTTTTACTATCGAAGAATGAATAGCCATCACATCGGGTTCTTTGTAACGGCAAGGCATATGATAACAGCCAACACACAATACTTTACCATCGATTACAACTTGTAAACAAATCAGTGTATTGCGTCTAGTCATAGCAATTTCCCAAGGATCCGATATAGGTTGTGTGAATTTACTTATAGCAGACTGATATATATTCCATCCCCATGTAAACAGATTTGTTTCTTTGTTGTGCAACTTACTAAATGATCTTATATGATCACCAATTTTGATAATAGAAATAGAGTTGAGTTGCATCGAAATAGGAATTGCTATACCTACACCCATATAATCTTTGCGTTGTTCTTCGTATAAATTTTGAAAGAACGTATAATTCAATCGACGAAAAAATAATTCAAGTTTAGGTAAAACAGGAAGAGATAGTTCTTGTATGCAAATAATCGTATTTTTATGCTGAACAATTTCTTGTTCTAATTGAGATTGAATCAAGTTCCAGCGATGTTCAGTTTGAAGAAATTCAGGTTGACATTTGGTGTAATGATCAGGTCGATTAGCCAAAATAGGTACTAAAATATTGTATGACACAATGCGAACGGCCATCGTAGTAGTTTGAAAAATATTCGTGTATTGCAAAATGAATAAAGAAATAAATGTGCTTTAAAAGAATGGGTATTATATAGTAGCAAGAGAAACAAAATGTATGCATGATTTCATGACGAAACATAAAGAACGACCTTCGGTGATAAGACGTATGATCGGCGAACGCAATAAAGTTGTGCAAGAATATTGTCGACGAAAATAACGAAGAGAAAAGAATAAAGTATAAGAAAAAATAAAACGATATGTTCTTAATGAGTCAAGGTTTGATTCAGTTAGTCAGTGAAATAAATAAATGCGCTATGATTCTTATCTCGATGAGGATTGATATAAAACGAACGCAATAAAAATAATAATGGTACTACTATTATTCACAGAAAAAAGAGTACCAATTATGATTAGTATATAATCTACTTGATGTTTCATACAAGCATATTAAAGTGTATAATACGTGCTGCAGAAATACTAAGACATTATTCATTAAAATTAGTATACTACTCATGTTTATTGTAAATGAATTGTTTTCATACAAAAAAATTAAGAATAAAATTGAAAAAAAATTTTTTCTCATAGAAATGTCAAAATCAAATGTTTTTTTTATCATTAGTAATAGATGACAGCCAATACGAAGAGAGCAATCTTCCAGATTTCGTTTGTAAAATATTTCATAGCACTATTTTGTGGTTTTGATGTGATTTCACTGTTAGATGTACTTGTTGTAAGTTCACTAATTTCAATATCGATTGTTACTAATTCAATATATTCATCTAATAACTGAATATTCATTTCATATTTTTCATGCATTTGTCCCATGGTAGCATCGTTCGTAATTAAAACATCGAACATACATTGTTGTTCATGAGTCATATTACGACAAACTTCTTCAGCCATATGGTATCGATCGGTATTCGCATATTTTTGAAAAAGATCTTGTTTAAACATAGGACGATAGTTTAAATCTTGATGTTCAGCATGACTATCCTGAAAACGATAATAGAAAAGTGATGAATCACTTGTCGTACGCCATGATTCACCGTAAGTAAATAATGCTTGATCATCATTTAAACTAGTTGATACATTTGTTCCATTTGCATATGCAAGACCATCGAAACCACCAAGTATACCTTGAAATTTTTTCTTATCTTTGAATGTACTTGGTATAATAGAAACGAAATCAAGAAAATCAAATTGAGGTCGTAGATACACAATAAATTGAAGTCCACTTTCACCATAAGAAATGCTATAACTATTTGCATCTCTTTGCCGAAGAATCAATTGATGATCATCAGAATAGATCAATGAAGAAGATAATAATTCATCTGGCTCTGAAAGTGGTGTAAATTCTAAGTTTGCCGTCAACTCGCATTTCTAATTGTCGTAATTTTGGAAAGAGTTCAAATTGCACACGTGGTTGATCTTCATTTTGAATAACGAATGCAGAAATCACTGTTCCACTCTCTGTCGTCGATGTCGAAGTAGAACTTCCTGATGCATTCACTAACTGAGCGAGTCGTACTTGAATTTCAAATTGTCCATCAAGTGATCGAAGTAAACTATATTCACCATGACCATTGAAAGTATAAGAATTTCCATCCAGTGTTGAAAAATGTGGATCACCGTTTACCGTCACAGGTGGTAATGGTATTAAATTGACACATGTACCAGCAGGTCGATATCTCATATACTGTGTGCAAGTACCTAGTACTTCAGTTGAAATACCACAGCATGAAAAGTAAGGAAGAAAATCAAAGAAGAAATGATGAAATGTTGATAATGTTTTCCAAGTTTCAGGATAATGTTCTTTTATTGAGCCACCTCCTCGTCTCACATCATTAATCATTATACCACCATTATCATAACAACAATGTGCACCTCCATCACTCGTTGATGATTTTCTTTGATAACATCCTCTTGCTCCACGTTGATACTGACAGTTCGATGAATCTGATTTACGTCCATCACAGACAGGATCCATATTGAAACCAAATTGTTCGTCATCCCATGTAGTTCTTATACGACATGGACATTGAGGAACATTTCTAGTTATATTTTGTGTTTTAATATCAGATTGTAAAGCAGACCATGATGGACAATAGGATGAGAAAAGAGTGTACGGTACAATAAATGTACGTGCAATAAATTGTTGAGTACCTTTCCATTGTGATATGTTTAATGTTATATTTGGTTGAATCAATTCGAAAGTAATATCTAACATATGAGCTTGATCATTTGGTACACCAGTAATAGGAAAAATGGATTGAAAATGAATGGTTAAATTGTTCAAAGTGGAAAGATTCAATGAACCAAGACCAAGATCAACACGTCGAGTGAGTGTATTGTAAAATGTGTTATTATGTGCTATATATTGAGAACTGTAATCGTAGATAATAATTCGGAATAGATAATTTGTCGTCAGAGTATTTTGATTGAACTGTAATTCTAAACGACGATCTTCAATAAATCTAGGTTTATTAATAAGATCACCATGATTATTCAATAATAAATCAGCGTTTGATTCAGGTAGAATCGATAGAAAAGATGTTTCTCCAACCAGTTGATTAGCTATAGTAAATATCTGAATGCTCAATCGGCCTTCGGATACTATAGGCATAGTACAGGCTATATATACCGTGGTCACTTGACAGTCGGTTATCTCTTGACCATTGATTTGGACAATGTAGGATGGTTCAGGAAAACAAATACCAAATAGTCGTATTTGATAGCCACCGTGCATGGAACCTCGAAATGGTGAAGTTTGTAAACCATGTGTAGTGTTACATTGAATATCACTAATATTACCATTTGTTAGGAAAATAAATCTACCCGGAAGACCGACGTTTGACTCTTGTGCTATATTAATAATATCAGCTGAGAAGGAGTTTTCTACAGTAAAAAAATTAACTTGATCACCAGCATTAAAACCAACTTGAGGATAACCACCCCATAATCCAGCAGACCATTGTAATTGATTATATGTATAGAGAGTAAATGAATAAATACCATTGGTTGCTATGATGGCCTATTAAAACGACAAAAAATAGTCATATGAGAATATCTCAAATATAAATTAGTATTCATAAAAGCGCTGACATTTTTTACTTCAAATTATCTGAATAAATTATATTACCTGATACGTATTTCGACCTGGATCACTTTGATGTCCTGGAACTCGGTACCAAGTGGCCACAAATGCCCATAGCATTCGATTAGCTGACAGTAGAGGAAACCCATGACGTATCATGCTTGATATTTCAATTAATGTAGCATCATCAGTGATTTCTCGATAGAATATATTACTAGACGCATCTTGCGAAATGTCTGTATCTGCCCAGTAAGGAGCAGCACACACAAAATTACGCAATGGAAAAGGACCAGGTGGATTGTGTGGCAAAGAATAGGTGATATTGCCAAAAAGGATTAAACCGTGACTCCACACACGAATGACATCGTACCATTCACCAAAGAATGGAAAACGAACATTGATATTAATCGGTGCTGTGACGGCATCCAGTTGACGTGCCATAGTAGCATCTCCAGATGCAACACCAAAAGAAATGAAATTCTCTATTGTTGTTTGACTTGATACTACATGTAGTAGCAAGAAGTATAGAACGAATCGCCAAAGCATTATTTAATTTACTGTATACAACTGTGCTTGGCCACTATATTTATAGTGATGTCTAAACACTTTGATAAACATTGATACACAGTTTTCTTATCACAATATTCCAAGTTACTGGATCCCAAAGATCAATAAAAAAAGCGTAGATAACGGCTTCTACCCCGAACAAAAATAGAATGTCGCAAACAATAAGCAAGATAAGTACATCATTCGCCGACAGCTATCTTAGTGAAATAAAATCGCCGAAAACCGGTGAGTGTTGATTTAGATACATAATGGACCTCCACATCTTCATTCACACCCACTCTATCAAGAATCCTCACATCTTAAAATCGCCGAAAAACGAGAGGATGGATGACCGTAGATGAGTAATAAACCGCTACATTTTCACCCATAACTAAACTCATAATCTCACCTATATCCACATATAATTTCACTCACACCGACACCCTCAAGAAGTATCCTCACCCGTACTCTAAAATCGCCAAAAACCGAGAGGGCAGATGAGTAGAGATCAATAATAAACCGTCACATTTTCAACTATAACCAAACTTATACTCTCACCCACATTCACACCCACACCCACACTCCCATACTCACACTTACAACCGTACCACACTATGAAGAACCACCACATCCTCATCCACACTCAGGTCTTCACCCACACCCGTAAGAATCCTCTCATCCTCACCCATACCTATACACACATCCACAGCCACTATGTTAATAGTAATATTCAGACGCTTTGATAAACAGTGGTGTAACAGTTTTCTTATCAAAATGTTTCAGGTAACTAGATCCCAAAGAACAACAAAAAAAAAGCATAGATAACGAGTATTAGTCCGAACAAAAATAGAATGCCGCAAATAATAAGCAAGATAGGTATATTATTCGCAGAGAGTCATCTTACTGAAATAAAATCGCCGAAAAACGGTGAGTGTTGATTTAGATAAATGATGGACCTCCATATTTTCATCCACACCGATACTCACCTTCAAGATGATACTGCAGAATGATAACATCACTAATGGTAGAATTTTGTTTATAGTTTAAATGGTTCTTAATTATACTTTGAAGTAAAAATTCAATGACAACACCACAAACAAAAAGCTGTCTATATAATGATATTAGTATGAAAAAGGAAAATCAATGATAAATTTACATGAAAATTGAATGGGCTCAAATGTACTAATATTATTTAGATTAACTCTGAAAAATATATATTTTTAAAAGAAATTCAGTGAAAAATCTAATAGAACTTTTAAGAAGTACGATAACATTCTATGATTTCTAAATTTCGTAGTCTCTGAAATTCTTAAGACAATGTTTTTATGCAGTAGTTAGAATTGTTTTCGTTTGATTTATTAAATAGATTTATTCGAGGGTTTCATGATTAAAATAATTTGAAATAAAATATACTGACACTATTTATACATATATATATATCCGTGTCATTTGTTTCACACTCAACAAAAAAAGAAGATTGATGAAAAAAAAAGTATTTTGATATTCAATAATAAATAGTAAAAGAATAAATCAAGAGTTTTCATTCGCATTTAATTATCTTATAATCTTTGAGGAAGCGTTGATTTCATAAAAAATATATATATGTTAAAATTAATAAGGTAATTATAATTTGAATATTGTTTAATTTAAAAAATGTTGCACAACTAGACATCGTACCAGCCCAATCGCTTAATTTGCTAACACAACCAACATCAACAACACTAGGACGATATGTTGCAATAGTAGTCAATGTTACTGTAGTGTCATGTATAAGATACCAATATGTAGCACCCCTTTTCGAGCCTATAACTGTATCAAGTTTATCTAAACCTATATAATGACCAGTTGCATTATCAGTATACATTACAATAGGAAAAACGCCAGCTGCATCAATTGCATTTCCAATCCAAGCTTGTACAGCTACAGGTTTCATAGAAGCAATACCCCATTTCTTTGTAATAATCCATACACCAGAATAATCTAAGAATCGTGAATTGTAATTATAAGCTTCACATTGATAGTTACATGAAGGCATCCATGCACATGCGTTTGTGTCATATTGATATATAAAAAATCCACTAGCATTAAAATAGTAATACGTCGTACCTAAGGTAACAATAAGCAATTGTCTAATATCATCCATGATCCATACAGCATCCGTAACAAAACTGTTCGCTTGAATACCAAAAATACCATATCCAGTATTACTGGGCAATGGATTAGGTAATTTATACGTATTAGTACTTGCAAAAGGACATTGAGTACTAGTATTACTTTTACAAATTTTGAGATATCCAGTAGATTGCATTGCAATTCCACTACTAAATATATGACGAGCTTTACCAAATGGAGGTTGATTATCAGTTAAATTGCTTAGAGAAGGAAAAGGAGTTCCAGAAAGAATAACATCAATTGCATATATTTTTCGATCTATAGTATTAACATGCAACATTACTAATTGTGTATCTATTTGAACTGTACATCCAGAACCCACACCATTATAGCCAGTGGGCGGACAATGATAATCTAAAGCATAATTATCAATTGTACCTAAAACAGTTAATGCACCACTGTAAACATAAAATGTTTGATTTGTATCAGGATTAATATATGTTGTATAATTAGTAGTAAAATTTGATATCTGTTGCCAATCAAAGATAAAACAATTACTAGTAAGATTATTATTCGTTGTACTATTTATTGTAGTTTCAACACAAGATGATGGAATTCTTTGTAAATAAAAAAGACCATTACATATAACTTTAAAAACAAACAAATTGAAATCGATTAATTAATCAGTGAAAATAGAAATCTTTTTTTTATCGGGTACAAATGAAACAACTAAACTCACCTGAATCAATAATAAGAAAACCCAAAAATATCAATATAGTACTGACATTAACCAGTACATACATTTTTTTATAATATTGTACGAAAAAATTGTTTCGAACACTATTATATTCTTATGAATAATGTCTTTCTCCTATAATTATAAAGAAAGAAAAAGTAAAAATCATATCCTTACAATATACGAAATTTTTTTTCTTCCACTAATGACTTATTTTTTTACGTATTAATAAAAAAGAGGTGGGATACTAGTTTTTTTTCTCACATAATTTAATACTTCTTTCACCTGTATGGCAAGAACATATTCATTCCAACGTGACACTGAAGTATTTCTTTTTTTTACTGTTGTCCTTGAAAAAAATAGGATAAAATATAAGCCATAAATCGTTTAATTAATTGACGGTAAACTACTGTTTTGTACCCCTTTTTCCATTAATAGATTAGACGATTTTACGCTTTTCAATTTATCCTTTACTGTTAATTTAACAATCGATTGTTATATATTTCAGTCAATCAATATTTTATTCAAAAGAAATGTAACTATAACATCATTCTACATGAACAAAATCTATTATAAAAAGAAGAATAAATTAATAGGATAAGCAATTTTTCAAATACATAACAGAAAAGAATTGAATAATAATCTAAAATAACTAATTGCGATTTTTTTAACTAATGTATGAAATAAATAACATTTAAATTATCGCGATAAATTAATTGGCTTGACAAATAAAATGTAAATAAGTTAAAAAATATTTTTCAATTTCTTTTATGTTTATTCAATGATTATACACACTCATGTCCTCAAAATCACAGGAAATTGGACGATTAATCGTGATTATTAAGGTTATTTCTATATAATTTTAAGAAAAAACGCTCGAAAAACAACTAAAATGTTCTCGCACAGACTTAGATTTAGAATTATTTAAAGTAAAACAATACTAAAAAAAAGGGTGAGAATGTGGATGTAAGTGCACACTTATTTTTTTAATCATCCATCAACGCTTTCACTCAGACTGACATCTTTATGACAAAATAGACGTTACTAAGTCTCACCTGTCTTATAAAAAAAATATCCAAATACTTTCTCTTCTACCAATGATATTTTTTGTCTTTTTTCGCTCTTCTTACATCTTGCAGATAAATAACGATAAGACCACGTGCGGCGTAGGTTTTATCATGAAAACCACTATGGATGAGACAGCTAAAGGACAAGAGATGGCAACTGTGTCCCTTGAGAAATTTTTGGAAGCTAAATTTTGAATAACTTTAATCTTTTTTCTCATCTTATTCAATACATGTTTGTATTTTAAGAAAAATAACTTCGTATCAGATAATATGAATGAATTTAATTTATCGTCAACAACATTAGATGAAATACAAAATCATGATGATTTTAGAGTGGTTTGGTATTCTGCGGACAATCATATTTCCAGTGAATTAACATATTTTGCTCATTATCTTGAGAAATGTGATTCAATCGATACGTGTAAAAATTATATCAGAGAAATCAAAAGTGAACGTAAAATTCTTCTTGTTTTAATCAATTTGTTTAAACATGTTGCCGAATTTGTTGGTTTATCTCAAATTCAATCGATTTATATTTTAGAAAAAGATCGTCAAAATATTCACTATGATAAAGAAAACTTTTCTAAATCAATTCATGTTTTTACGAACGAACGTTTATTGATCGATCGATTACGTTATGATATTCTATTAACATATCGAAATGATTTACCTATCAATGTTTCATATTTATATGAAATTAAACACGAACAATCTTTTATAAATTCAGATACACACACATATCTGTTTTT